CAGCAAGGATACAAAGAAATAAATTGTGATAGATAGATAGATAGATAGATAGATAGATAGATAGATAGATAGATAGATGGATGATCTTAATTTGGTTCTTTGTACCCATGTCAGGAAGCTCACAACCACCTGTGACCCAGATCCAGGGAATCTTACCTCCTCTCGTGGACTCATGGGAACACAAACCCACCTGCACACACATTACATAATTAAAAATAAAATGTCTGTTATTTTGTAAACAAAAGCCAGAAAACCTGCCATTTATTTTATTTGCCTAATATATTTTTAAATTCTTAAGTGGGAGCATAGTCCACATTTAATTTATGAACTTACATTCTTGTTAATATGTTGCTGTGTTAAAAACACCTTAATTTCCTCATTTTAATGTTAAATTTCACACTTTGTAGGTAAACTTTCATCTGCTCGTAGGTGGCACTGTGTTTTACAAAGCAGACATAGTCTCAGCTAGGCATCCCTCTTCTCTTAGCCATTTGCTAGGGAGTCCTAGTTCTGGGCGCCTTGGTAACTTCCAGGTGCTGTTTAAAGTTCTTCAGTTCAGCTGTCCTTTCTATCTTTGCACCCTTCCCCTTGTCCGTCCACAACACATCACCACACCAGGAGCAGGAGAAGCATCAGAGTCATTAGCATCTGGTGCAAACAGAAGGTAATTTTTCCGTTGTGCGATCGGCACTCTGACTTCAGTGCCCTTCTGGAGATTATAGGTCCATGGACACACAGAGCCAGTGGGGTCAGTGCCAACATAACACCCTCCCTCAGCTCAGAGCTCAGCCAGTGCACACGGGTGGAACCCGTGTTTGCTGTGTTACTCACTCTCAAGTCAGTGTTACTGTATACACTGAAACTGCCGGCCCCCTATTCTTTTCCCGTGAATCCACACAGCAGTTATCCTAATGAAACATTCAAATTTTCAGGTTCAACTTGAATAAAACCTCTATAACTTCTTAAATTTCTAGCAGATAGCAATATTGCTCAATGTGGATTTTATCCCACCCGCTGTTAGTGGTGACAGTGCCACACAAAGATGTCAGAGCATGGATATGAAGCTGTTGCTGTAGAAGCTCCACCAGCACCATCAATTACCACCTCCCGCATCTTTAGTTAGTCTATAGGTTAATCACCTCAACTTATGACACTATTGCAATGCATCATTTAAGTTCATAAGTGCTGGCCTGTTTCACAATCTTCTTACACTGTTTCAGAAGACAGAACTGAAATTCGCAGGTATCATATCATAGAACATTTGAGTAGAACTGCAAAAGTATTTTTATTTTTAAAAAATTCAGATAATTTAGTCTTATGGTAAACATTAATTTAAGACAACCTGATAAAAACCCAGTTTTAAACAACAGGCTTTGGCTATACCAGGTGATTGGAGACAAATTTCCCAACTGATATATATGCCTTAACTGTCTTTTAAGAGTAAAAGTAGATGAGTTAAGCCAAAGGAAAACTACATGAAAATATGTTCTTGTGAAAATGAGAAATTAGACAATATTATAGCTTATTTTCTGTTTTAGTTTATCATGCAAAAATGTGAATGTAGAAATGTAGATATACAGTCAAAAGATACTTTGTATCTTCTAAAAGATGTAGGTTTCATGAAAAATACAGTTATGGGGATGTCGTTGCATTAACTGGTTTTGTTAAATAAGCAGGTTGTAGCTACTCTTTCCACAAACATTAACTATGACAGGTGGCCTGTTAGTCTGCTTCACTCTGCCCACTGTTTTACTTTCTTTGTTTCTACGACATTATATTGTAATCGATCAAATGAAATTTATGTTAAAAAATAACGGGCATTCACTAGCACACGTCTACATCTGACTCTCCTGCTTTTACGCTGATAGCGTTCCTTGTACTTTGCAGCGTGCTGTAAGCACCCATATACATCGCTGTTCTTTGTTTAAAGATAAAGGCTAGGCAATTAAACCAACCGTAGTTTTAAAAAATATTGAATCAAAACAGGATAAAAATAAAAATATTTTTCACACGGGGAGGTCCAATTTTTCTTGGAGTTTGTTTTTAATTCTTCATGAGTTCATAGAATGATAATTGGTGGCATTTATTTTCATACAGTGTTTTGAATTTGTGCTTGTCTGACACAGAAGGAAGAGAGATGCTGGCTCTTTAAGGACTGTATTTCATGAAACTATAGCCTTGAGGGGCTGCAGGTTGTTTCTGGGTTTGATGATGATGGTGATGATTATGATTGTGGGGTTTTTTTTTGGGGGGGAGGTATCAAGCATGTGCTTATGTGGCATTCAGAGAACAATGTGAGGCAGCCAGTTCTCTTCCTCCTCTATGTAATTCCTGGGTATTGAACTCAGGTCAACAAACTTATCGGAATGTGCGTGTTTTCGCTGAGCTGTCTCACCAGCCTTTGTTGTTGTTCTTTGTTTTTGATTTTTACATTAAAATTTTGGTGGGCTTGATTGCCTATGTCTACTAAGTTGGAGGAGGATATTCATTTGTGACGTAATATTTGTGAATATAACTATCAGTAATCTAATTGCTGAAAAATCATTTGCCATTCATGTGTACTTTATCACATTAGTAAAAACTATTTGAAGTTAAATATTATGAAATATTATTTTTTTCAGTTCAAAATATATTTAAGTATAAAAAATCAATTTTAGACTCATTTTCAGAAACATATTTTAAGAATATTTTTCCATTGTTTTTTAAAAAAGCTATTCTTTAAACTTTTATCATAAAATAAGAACTACAAGGGTTTTTTTCTCTGAAATTTATTACACATCCTGGTCTCCACAGATGAACCATTAATGGTCGTTATTTTTAACTGCTTCTTATGACCTCTGCTGAAAGGAATAATGAATAAAAATCAGTAGCTATTTTATAAAAATAATCATCTCACAAAGGTGACACTAAGTAAATTTTTACTAAGAGAACTGAAGATGCTAAAATAGATCATTTCCTTCAACTGTAAAATACATGTGTTTTGCCATCCTTGGTGTTCTGCCTCCTACTCATTTGATGCTCTCTCATATTATTATATATTCAACTTTTAAAGACTCTGAAACAAAATATAAAAGAAGTTAAACTGTCTTTATTTTTCAATCCAAGAAAAAAGTTTGCTGTTCATCCATTTAATACTACTCCTCATGTGATATATTTCATCCATATAATCATGGGTGATCATTAAGTGTAAAAGAACACAAATGGTATTTTGTCCAAAGATGGCCATTGCTTATCTCACATCATCAGTCCATTGTCTTCCATGCCTTATTGCTGCACTCAGTTTTTGACATTTTGTGGACATGAAATATACATTAGTTTTTGTGTCTTTTTAAATGTGATTCTCAAGACCCTTCAGCTTGAATTATATAGTTCTTCCATCCACAAATATGGCTGAAAGTTGAACTTGACATGGATCAATATGATCTGGGCTAAATATCTAAATGTGACTGATTATGTTAGCATCATGTCCACAGATCAATATTGGGTTTTATTATGAGCCTGACTCTATAATTGGGTTTAATCAATACACTTTTGTCTCTTTTCCTTTGCAGTTTTAGGATTATACCACATAGGTTTTAGAAACCACACTTAGCTTACATTTAGGACTCTTTTCTTTTGGTGACCAGAAAGGGATTTATATGTGAATTTTAAGGAACAATGGGCATCAGGCTTATAACCGTGGACGAGTCCACTTCCTGATAACTGACTGCTTGGTCAGAGCTAATGTAGTAACACCCCAGCATTCCTTTTGGGGAGCGTGGGGCTTTTTGTGTCTATATTTAGTAAATGACATTGGAGACTTTGACAAAACATACCATTAATGAAAGCCATCGTGAAAGCTTGCCTTTTGATAAACCCGCAGGGTCCATGGGCGTTGAAAGATGCAGTCTGTAAAGAGCAGTAAATCTGAACCTTTGATTGAAGTGCCATTTGGGATGAGGTGCATTGTCTGCATATCTGCACAGGCGCGATGCTCCCTTTTTCAAGTCTCTTAAACTGGAAGCTCGCGAGCGTTCAATGCCATTTCTGCATTAGAGTTGGTCCCGCTAAAAGCCCTGGACAAAGAGCAGACTGGAAGTGATCCAGCTGAACCTTGTGGGCTTAACTCTGTCCTAGTTTGCCCATTTGGAAAGCAGGCTTCTGGCCATCATTGCTGTCTCCTTTAAGAACAGACCTGGACTGTTTTGGGGTTACTTCTTTTTGCAAGCATGTTCATAAAATACATCAGCTTTTTCTCTTTTTTTCCCACCTCCTTTTTGGACAGGGTCTTCCTATGCAACCAGGGCTGGTCTAGACTCTATTTGTAGATCAGGCTGGCCTTGAGGCCACAGAGAGCCACTCAGAGATCCACCTGCCTGTGCCTCATAGGTGCTGTGATTAAAGTTGTGTGCCACTTTTCAGCCCGACTTCCCTTAATATATATATCAACTTCCATATATATATATATATGTATGTATGTATGTATGTATGTATGTATGTATGTATGTATGTAT